TTTCAAAGAAATGTTCCAATGCAACAGCGTATTTTTTTCTGTTGGTGTCTTTTTCTCAAAACTTTATAACTTTAAAATGCACAGCCCTCCCCCTCCTCCTGTTCATAACCAGGGCTGTGTCACCCAGTTTAGACTCCTCCCATGGCTTAGCACTACAGAGCTGACGAGACAGACGTATGGCTAATGATGGGTTCTGACGATTTTATTTTGCTGAATTCTGAGGTTTGGGGATATTTTTGTCGATAAGCAAATTCTTCCACAGAAGATTCAAAATCAGGCAGAAAGGAATAACTGAGTAGATCTAACAGCCTGAAGAGGACAAGCACATGCTTCTGCCCTATAGCGGCAGAGCAGGTGTGGGTTATGACACCGTGAACACGAGGCAAGCGTGAAAAGTTGGTTTAAATTCAACAAGTACGAGCAATTCAATTTCTCAACCTTATTTCTACACAGAATTTGGCACAGAAGCAGCACGATGGTACCTGAAGCACATTTTCTTTCAATCTGGACTGCATCAGCAGGGCAGCTGAACACTGCAGAAAGTACTATTAGAGTTTCCTTGCTGTGCTGACAAATCAGGCACCCCTTAAAATTTACTGTCAAGGAGCTGTGCAGAAACACATCCAAATTTACTGAAAATGCTCAGTAAAATCAGTGGTACAGATTGCACGCACAATGCCTCATCAAAGCCCTTTGTCGTCCTATACAGGCAAATACAGTCTGTGATATTTAAGCAGTTTGTCAAACTTGAAAAGCAGTACCAGAGCTCCTAGAGAAGCAATAAAGTGATTTAACAGCCATCTTCTACCTCTGCAGACGAGCAATGGAATTTATCTGCCCCAGCTCGGTTCCTATACTTTTGTTCGTAACTGTAAGCCTTTCTGTAGTAGTTAAGCTTATCTTCTTGCTTATGGGTATGAAATACAACCATCCCTTTTACCAGCTGCTTATTCTGCATCGCTTGGCTAAGACGTGGCTTTTATCACAAGATGTGGCTTTTAATACAATCCTCAGACCTTACACCTCATACTAATTCTGGTCAAACGTGTAAAAATGCAGACTGCTTTCACAACTTACGTTTATTTGTAACTGCTACCATTGACGCATAGTGAAAGGTCCTCAGAACTTGTGAAGTGCTTAATACGAAGTGTACAAGGAAAACCCATCGCCAACCTCGGGTGTTGTTTCAGAGGTGCAACAACAATCACACAGTGTCAAAAGTTTCATAATTTCACTTTACTCGTAAGACACAGCCCAAAATGCTATAGCTGTCCTGAAGAAGCATCTTCTATCCAGAGGTCACGGGAGCCCCTTTTTACTGGTAAGAAGCCAGATTTGTGTGTCCCTGTAATTCCATTTCTGATTATCTTCTCTTCTGGCTGGACACAGCCCATGTTCCCTTGTGATAATTACCAGTGTTGCAAATGCTAACACAGCTGAGAAGTACAGCATCTGATTTGTTTTTTTTAAACTGAACTGTACTTAGCAAGTGATCATTATGTCTCTTACAAGTGGAGGACTGGTGCTTTCTGTGTCTACCACTGCAATTCTCCTTTGCACATCTGATGGGAGTATGCATGGCAACAAGAAATCAAAAGCTTACAATCCCAGCACAATAGGCTAAAGGTTTACACCTCCAGTTTCACGCTGACATTCTGCACCATTTCGCATCTCACATTAATTCCTCTATCGGTCTCCAGTGAGGAATGTTGCATTTTAAAACCAGAACGTTAAATACCACCAGGAAATTCTTGAAGGAGGGACAATGTTGTAAGTCTTGTGTCTTTTTCTGGAGTTTGATACAGAATCTTTTAGAACAGGCCAAGACTGTAAAGAAAGAGGCCTAAACTTAAGTGCCTAAACATCGATTCACAGCTCAAAGAGCTTGCCATAAACCCCAACATTTTAAGGGCAGTCTATGCCCATCACTGAAGCCAATAGGAACTTGCCCCTGTTCATGTAGGATGCTTAAACAAGGATTAAGAGTCAAAACTACGTTATGCGTGCAGTGTATTAAGACTGCTAAAATTCCTGCTTTAGGGAACACAAACCTATGCAGATCAAGAGAATAATCAAGGCAAAGCCGAGTTCCAGGAATGGTGCTTCAGCCTTCACGTTCCTTTACCTACGAATTCTCATCTCGTAGCATTATGAAAGCAACAGTCATTTGCGTAATGAGCAAACATGCAGTGTTTGTTACACTTCTGAAATTGGCTGTCACAACAAATTTGGAAACTTATTAGGTTGGTTATTGTTCATAACCTGTATTAACAAAAAGCTCATCCTTCCTGTGAGGGAAGTGTCCACTTTATAATACAGTAATACTCTGATGAGCTCAGAGAATATTGTAGTCTGTCTTTTATAATTTAATGCAGATTACACAAAGACCATCTAGTTACTTATGAAGCAGCAAGGGAGAAAATAATAATAATGCCATTAACAGGAAATGAATGTCAAGTTCAATGAGAGCTACAGTATATTAATCTTTGATAATATGTAATTATCATTGTAGGACTTTTGGCAAAAAGAGCACTAGACCAGAACCTACGAACTGCAATATGGTGTAATTAATCAAGAGAATAGATCACAGAATCTGAGTATGTGAAACACAGCATCTGCAACAGCAGTTTATTACTGGTCCAAATTACAGCATTTGCTCAACACTAAGAACAAGTTGGCAAATCAAAAATGATTTAAAATCCTGTCATTTTCTGCAATATGCACACGTAAAAGGAATCTGAAAATATCTGCTTTGCAGATCATTTAAAAAATGACATATGAGAGACACTCACAGCACCAGTTACAGTCTGGATAAGTCTTGTTCGGATTAAGAACAAGAAGCTCGAACAACAGCGAATATGATCAAGGATACAACTAAATCAAAACAACCTGAAGGTGGTTTTTCAAAATAAGCACAAAAAGGTTCAGACACAGTGTCCACGAGGGATCAGTTCTCTGAAGCACAAACACCTCTTTGTTGGAAGCGACGGAAGAATTACGTTGGAGGATCAAATGAAACCAGTGGAGATGGAACAGTGTGCAACTCACAGGACTAAGAAAGCATAGGAAATCTTACAATAAGCAATTCCATATCAAAACTGAACAGAGAGATAAGCTTCATTCTGAGGTTACAAAAATTAGAAAAGGGCTCCTGTGTTTGTACAGATTACACAAGGTGTTCTTGAGCAAAGTTTGGATTTCTATGACAGTCTCTTCAGAGCAATCGTCGTTCCTTGAATTTAGCCTGCTGAAGCAAGTTCTTCTATCCTGCCCAAATAGCCGAAGAACACTTCTTCATTCTTCACGTTACACTACACAAGCCCCTTCATCCCTATTTCCCCAAGCAGTCCTCACGACATACTTCATGATGCCGTCAAACAAATCTTCCTTCCACCTTCTCATCTCAGCTTGGAGAGCCGCATCATGGGAAAGTTTAATGGGCAGTCTGAGGACTTGGTGAAAAACCAGTCTCACCATCAGTCACCTACTCAAACTGCTAAACCAGGTACTTGTGAACAAAAGGTCCTTCAGTCTGAAGCTTCTGGATTTCCCTTGGCTGCCCTTCCCCCTGGCTAACTGAGGGAGATGTTGTACCCACTCCTTTACTTTGCCTCTGACCTGTACAAGACTGCAGGTCAGACACTAAGGCTACACTGAAATCGTCACACTGTCAATAGGAGCTCATGTGCACACATGTGGTGAAACCCTGGCACGTTCCATTTCCCATGCTCTGATCTCCCTACAAATGAAACCTGACACAGAATGAAAAGGAAGGAATGGTGATGCAGCCTGGCCAGCTCTTGGTCTCACAGGATGGGGAGGGCAAGACTTCCACGGACCCATCTTCGCTAGCTAGATCAGTGTGAATGGTGCCAAACATCACCTCTTTCGTGTTTTTTCCAGCTCAAGGAGTGACCAGATCTGGACTCTCACTCGCAGAGTCAAACTCATTTGGTAAGTGAATTAAAGTGGGTTTGAGAAGAGAGTTTCATTTGTGTTAACTTACTGAAAAAGTTTTAAAAGCAGAGACAACCGATATTAATCTTTTATTGTTAATCATGTGAAATATTATAATCCAGTTCTTCTAGTTTTCTTGACTCTTACTGTGAACAACCCCCCCTTAACTCCAAAATGTCAGGATGGAACGATTTTATGTATCCCCTTGATTAAAAATATTCTCTTCTTCAAATAAGACATCAACATAACATACCATTACTTAAGTAAACACACTGTCTCTAAGCTATTACTTCTGGACTTCTCTGTAAGCTCACACATAAAACACATTTGCAATCAATTCTCCTATCTCCTTGCTGATGAGACTGCATGATGTGAGAAGTCACTCGGACCACATGGTCAACTTCATCTGCCTCAACTATTCATTAAACAAGTTAATAAGGCAAGTTCTTAATCTTCGGATTTATCAAATTCAGCTGCCTTGAATTTGTAAGAAAAAGTGACTGTCCAAGTAACTAATGTGGGTATATACTTCACTCTGATTTTAATTTTGTGAAACCTTTTTCTGATGTGTATAGCGATACAGAGTCACTTTATTCAAATCCTTTGGAATGTATTAAAAGTTCAAGTTATGCTGACAAGACACAGTACCACGAAACTTCAAAAGTCTGGTAATAGTGTATTACAGTTACAAAAAGGGTAATTTAGTCATTAAGATGTGAATGTCTTAAATGTTGTTATCACTACAGAATTCTCTCAATCCGTGGTGTCACCATAATTTTTTAACCTGTTTGTCAAGTGTCCCAGACACTCCAAAACAATTGGCTGCTGGCTTTGCACATCTGCTTGGATAGATTTTAAAAAGCAGACTCATTTGCAGAGAAAAGAAGTTCTTTGCTTTTTGAAAAATGCCTTCAAAAGGGTCTCATTTCAAGTTTCCAACATGAAGGATCCAAAAATCACTACTCACGGCTGGAAAATTTAGCCATCAAATCCAACAGACCAGTGAACTCTGAGGGACACAAATCTTTGTGTTTTCTCACTGGACACTGTAAACTTCTGGGCAGAAACACACTAAACCAAAGTTATCTTTTTCATTCACTTGTTAGGCTCTCAGTTAGAGGTCTGAAATCCCATAGATGTAATAATCTCATTAAAATCTGTAGTAAACAAGTCTCTTGAGCGTGTTCTTGGCACTGACCAACTAAAGACCATCCTAAAATAAATACTTAGCAGACCTCTGTAACATGAAACAGTATGCGCTCTCTTTAAAAATCTGACCAGGTTCATATCCTATTGTGAAAAGTAATTATGTAAGATATCCAAAGCTGGCTTGGTTTTGGTAGTGAAAACACTGTTTTGTAATACTGAAATAAGGTAACATTATTAAAAAGGTTTCAATATCTACAATACTGCAAGGCTGAATAAGTGTTTTTGGGTTTTTTTTTTCATTTTATTAAAATAATTTATTCCATACATAAAAAGTGTACCATATTTTCACAGGTTTAAGAAATGCACTAAAAATACTGTTTCTCTGTTAAGTTAATTTTATACAAGTAGTAGTTAAGTCTAAAACATAGTTCATATGTCAAACAGATGTTTTAAGTTAATTTTCTGTATGGTATAAACCTCAATCTGTTAAAATCAACAGCATTTTGTTCTGTCCTGAATTTGTAACTTAAACATTATGGCTTGTTTCCTCAGAAAATAAAATTTCGATAACAAAAAAAAATTACTTCTCTTTCTGTGCAAAATCACGCCTCTAAAATGATTTAAAAGCCAAACAAAAGGGCAGAAATTTCAACAAGTTTAGAAAAATCTGCTTTGCCGTCCCACCAGCTGTAAGGCAGTAGCAAAATCAAAACTGGATTTTAAATTCAGGGAACAATAAAAGTGAAGAATATATACAAAAATGAACTTACCAAGAAGTGGAATAGCCTGGGTGACAGGAGGAGGTACATTAGTAGGTGCTACAGGAGGTGGAACAGTCCCATATATTTTTGAACTATCGGTAGTTTCAGCATTCCCTCGGGATCCAGAAACCACTGTTGGGATGGGATTTCCTACAGACGAATCTTTTGTAGTGTCTTCATTTACCCCAGTTGCTGTAGCTAACAAACAACGCATTGACATATTAAAAAGAGTCAGCTTTTCTGCATGTACGATACCTGCCTGCTACTGCTGCTTGCCCAAGATATAAACACTTACAATTTGGGATGTTTACTGCTGGAGTGTGAGGAACAGATACTGGAGGAGTTATAGGTGGTGGTGGTCCAGGTGGAAGAAAGCCTATAAAAAAGGTATATATTAACGCCTAATACCACTTTATGAAAATATACCTGTGTGCTTTATATTGCAGCTGCTTTTATTTACTGTCTGGTTAAAAAAAAAGGAAGAAATATGTAAATATACCTGGGGGTAAATGCATTGGGTTGAAACCAGGTCGTAAAAACGGAGGGGGTGGCGGTGGTGGCACTCCAGGAGCAAATCCAGGAGGTGGGATTCCTAAGGGCGCTGTGAAAGCAGGTGGTTGGAGTGCACCAACCACAGGAGGACCTGATGGATGCGGTGGAACCTAAGAAAAAAGGAAGGGGAAAAATGCGTTACCTCAAGACCGAATGGATTATTTGTTGTTCAGCTGCAGACTGCTGTCTTCTAAGCTTTGTCCATCAAAGCAAGAAAACTGCTATCTTAAAATTACTCTGCAACGAGGTGACTTCAGTAACTGAGCTCATTAGAAGTCAGAGAACTCCTATAATTACATTAGCGTGACTAGTGTTTCCTTATTATTTATTTTTAATTCTGATTTATATCAAGCTCTGAATGAAAATGGATTTAAATTATGTTGGTCCCCAGAGTCATGTTCATGATCCTACTACAAAAACTACATTAAATACGTGGGAATCGAAAGGAAAACATTTAGTCAAAAAATGCTCTGCATACAAAACTGATTTATTAAAGCAAACGAGAGCAGTGCAGTCAGGTGACCATAACTAACTCACCTCCATGACCATCAAAATTTCAGAACTACTACACCAAGACCCTTCCTAAGTAATTTTCTATTTCTAGACTAAAGAAGGAAAAGCCTTTACTATTTTATTCTCAGCACAGAAAGAAGTGGCCTTAAACCAAAGTAAGCTAAATATTCTCCTTACACCTGGAAAAGGTGCCAAAGCTGCCAAGCACCTGATACCACTTCAAACTTCTGTTCCAAGTTCTTCACCAATAGCTGGGCTGGTGAGCTGAGGCACATTAAAACTTGTACTACTAGAATTTTAAAATCAATTAAATACAACAAGCTTTAATTCATTAGGGTTTAATATAGTCCACCCACTTGTAATCTTTAATCTGGTTATTTATTGGTTTACAATAACCTGCTGCTTAGACCCTGGCCTGAAGCTAAGCTAACTGAGCAGGATGTGAGAAACTCCTGGATGTGGCACAAGGAATTGCCAGATGCGACAGATACCAACTGAGGGGCTGACAAAAGGCAGCAGCATGACGGATGGCTGATTTGCAGGTGGGTAAGGGGGTGCTGTATGAACAACAGCCAGACTTCAGAGAGAAGCAGAAAGGAGCAGTGGCGACCTCCTGGGGACAAGTACCCTGCAAGGCCAGCAGTGCACAGGTAAGCATATCCAGGAATACCACATCAAGCCAAGATTACCTAGACGAACACTAACTTTTGAGTAACCCTAGAGGTGTTTCCATTAATCACAGTTAAAGCTTTAGAAAAAGTGCTCCAACACCACAGTAACCCAATAGTCTCAGTAGGTCTTTTTGTTTGTTTTACTGGGCATTCCTTCAAAAAACAACAGCTTACAAAATTCACTAGACATGGCAACAGACCTGCTGATTGCAGTAATGTTCTGCGGAGCAAGCGTTCAGGTACAGAGTGTGCACAGAGTGTACGCAGCAGAAGGAATTGAGGAGGGCTACCAAGAAGACAAAAAGGTTTAAAATGGAGGGGAAACTTGCCAAGTGCTGTCAGTCCTTAAGTAGTTAAAAGCTGAGAAAACCGTGGATGAAGCATATGTACATGATGGCTTGAGAGAGTATAATGAATAGTAAAATACTACGATGCAACCAGAATAGAAGTAACATCAAAGGAAGATGATTTAGATACGTATTAGAGGATACGCACACTTAATTACCCAAGCTTAACTGCTGTACCTCATGTTTTCTAAAAAGTTAACTCTCTAATATGTAATTGTAACTAATACATTAAAACCTTTCTTTTAAGCAGAAAGAAATAAACAAGGTGGTAAAACTCTGTGCACAAGTGTCACAACATGTGATCTAAAGTACAATCTGAAGTGCAAAGTTTCTCTATCAGAGATGGAACCAATGGGTAATAAAACATTGAGAGAGAACACAGAGGATTGGTAACCAGTTTCAGAATTACAGCTAATGAATTGGATAAGGCAAAGTAAAACCAAAAATGCTACTGGGGAGACCCTTTACTAATGGGGAGATAAATACTGGGAAAACCTGGTATTTTATTAACATCACTGGAAACTGGAATAACTCGCCTCTCAATAACTGTAATGCAGACTGCCAGGTGCATCTCAACCAACATGTCCTGAGGTTTGGCCTGTGCCCAGGTACAACTATTTGCTACTGTACACCTCTCGGCCTAAGACTTGAAGGAGAATCATTTGCCCTGTGAACTAAAAGGCAAATGTAGCTCTACCTACGGCTCCAAGACAAGTAAATATGTATTTAGAAGCACCTGGAGCCTCCAGCAGCAGGACTGGAAACAAGGAGTTTATCTGTTTCAACAGGAAGGGTACAGGATGGAATACTGGACCAACGCACAACTCCCACATCCACTTATAGGGAGAAGGAGCACATGGGATTCAGAAATACATTAGGAAATTTGGCAGGTACACACTCAACTTGAACTCTTTTTTTCTGGCTGAAAATCCATTAAACAAAGAAAAATGACTTAGAGTTGGATTGGGAAACTTACGGAAAGGGTGGCCACAGCAAACCCCATTGGACTTCATTCAATGTGTAACAAAGCCTGAGCCACAGTGCACTGTAAAAGAATGGCAGCTTTGGCAGGGTAACACCAAGCTCTGTCAGGAGAATGGAACACCAATTGCCCAAAATCTCATCAATGAATGCATAACACAAGTAACATCAAAAGTGCAATTAACTGAAACAGTCTCTCAGTAACCAAAAAACAGATTTAAGTTGACACTGGATACTGCAATATGACTTAAGAATGAACACAGACCTATCCTCAGAGTGGACCACTGAGGTGCATTACTCAGACTTGCCAAACTAGGACCAGATTCAGCAACAGCTCAGAGATCTGAATCTACAGGCAAGAAAAGGGCTCACTCCAGTGGCATAACACCAGAGAAGTCCCACCTATCTGGCCAATAACCCAGGACCCTGGGACTGAGAAGATGCTGTGTGCACTACTGAGGCCAAAGAACCAAACATACCTATGTGGACTATCACTCTTAGAGGGACATCATTGATTTTAAGTAGCTCACTACATACAGGTTGCAGCCATGGGTCAAGGATACTGGCAATAACAGAGCTCAGTCCACAGTTGGTCGCACCACTCACAGGCAGAGCAGGGCTCCATCCTTATGTGTGCAGCCCACACAGAGGGGTAGCACAGAAGGCCTGTTCAGGCTCTACCAGAGAAAGGGGTGATGCAGCTCTTTCCCATCCTACCTTTAAGCGTGGGAGTGTTAGGGCTGTAGCCAGACCACAAAGCTGCTGACTAGGCCCTGGTCTGAAATTAAGCTAAATTACATGAGAAGCTAGTGGGATTAACACAGGAAACTGCGAGACATGACAGATAATGGGAGAAGCTGACAAGTTGCAGATAGCGGCATAAGGGATGGCTGGATTTTGCAGGTGGTTAACAGGGTGTTTTGTGAATAACAGCCACACTTCAGAGGCAATCAGAAAGGTGCACTGGAGATCTTAAGGGGAAAAGTACTTTGTGAGGCCAACAGTGCGTAAGTAACCATATATCCAGGAACGCCATACCAGGGCAGTATTACTTAGGTAATGGTATCATAAATAGCAAATCTAGGTAGGGATGCAGCAAAAATGGGACCAACATGGGAAAAAAATAATTAGGGGAGAGTTGTTTACTTGGGAGAAGATTGAAGTGGTGAAAAGGGAGGAGAAAACACAAAAGGTTGCTCACGAAGCAAGAAAAGGGAGAGTAAGGTATGGGAACCATACAGCCAGAGCTGTTTGGGGTTATCTGTCAGGGGGCCCCTTCAGGCAGCAAATTCTTCATCATTCTCACTAACCACTTGCTGACTCGGTTCCCAAGACCGTTCTAGTGCATGCAAACTACATCCCTTTCCAGGGAAATCAAACCAGATGCTCTGTTCCTGCTGGGCAAGTACCTTGATCACTGCAACATGAAACAGGACAAGGCATAAAGCCTGTTCTGACACCACATGCATCAAACCTGCTTCTCCAGGCAGAGAGGACACGGTGGGCAGGGTGCTTTCTCTGGCTAATAGGGAAGCAGCCAGATGGACAGACAGAGCATCCTGGTATCACCATACTGATGTCTGTTCCAGGCTGGACAGCATCAGCAGCCACCCAGCACCCCTAGCAACCTCCCCACAGAGCATTACAGAACCACTTTGGTTGGAAAAGACCTTTAAGATCACCGAGTCCAACTGTTAACCTGGCACTGCCAAGTCCAGCACTCAGCCATGTCCCTAAGCACCACAGCTACACAACTTAAATATCTCCAGAGATGGTGACTTCACCACCTCCCTGGGCCGCCTGTTCCAGTGCTTGACAACCCATCTTACAGTCCTGAACACTGAAGCCAAATACAAATGAAAGCAGTTCTGTGTGTGTCAGAGGACATAAATACACCAACTAATTAAAGCTCAGTGGTACTCTACAAAGCAATCTAAACAGAAGAAGTGGAATACATTGAGTTTCTTCTTTAGGTATTGGGTCACATTGCGTATTACAAAGCACGTTACTTTTACTACCACCACCACTACCATCATCAGAGGTGAACTCAATTTTAAAGTTTTAAGAACTATTCAGGAATTATTGCACTATTATAATTTTATGGCAGAGAAGACAACTGGTCAAGTATAAGACAGCATTAAAAAGTTCACAGCAACACCAATGATGGAGGACTAAATAGTCCTCTGATCCTAGCTTGAATTTGTGAAGACACAAGTGTCTTTGCCATAGTAACTAATCTGAAGCAGAGGAGGCTGAGACAAGCAGCCAGCACACAGAAGAATATATTCTTTAACAAGTTGGTTTTTTCTTTATACTTTCTTTTTCAACATAGATTTAAGGAAAATAAACAAAACCACTAACATTTAATACAGTTAATGGCTATTAAAGCTCTTTGAAACCAGAAATTTTACTTACATGTTCTTTTTACTAGAAACACCTTACAGCATTTCAGAAATTGTGTCAAAACAACACAAAATTCAACACACTATGTTCTCAAATCACATAATTAGCTAAATTATATATGCCTTCAAATAATTTGAGTTCCTGATCTTTTCTGAGTGTCTGCCATATTGTGGTTCAGAAACCACATTTTCTCAAGATATAAAATTGCTTTCTTTACACTTCCTCCCATTTGGGAGAAGGCATAGCGCTAAATTCTAACAGTGGCAAGAAACTACTACTGTAAGAGTAGTAACACACCTGTCAATCAGTAAAGCCAAAAGAAATACAGATTCTAAAACACTGAAGGGAGTTGTTATTACACACTACTAAACTAATGGTGAAATTTCAGAGCTTTCTTTTAACAAATGAACGTAACACATCAACTTTGACTAAAGAACAATTACAACAACAAAGGAAGAATATGAAAATTTTTATAATAGATTTCCAAAAGCTGTTCAAAGAAAGTATACCCAATATGAACACACATGAAAGCAATGCGCTTATTTTAGAAGGTCTGTAGCTTATTTAAGCCACCAGTGAGGAAAGTTAATTAGGAAAACAGAAAAAAAAATAGTGCAATCATAAAACTGAGAGGATGCAATTCAGCCCATTAATAAAGTGAATCTACTGCAATAATTAAGCCAGGACTGAGAGACCAGGTAGTAGTACAGTCCAACCATACTTCAAATAAAGATCTGGCAGACACACATACGCTCCGTCTACACCAGCATTAGAGCAGCAACAAGGGTTTGGAGCAAATTCTTCATCATTCTCACTAACCCCTTGCTGACTCGGTTCCCAAGGCTGATCTAGTGCACGCAAACTACATCCCTTTTCAGGGAAATCAAATCAGATGCTATGTTCCTGCTGGGCACAAAACATGCTTCAAACCCTAATGGGTTCGTTTTTTTCTTTCCAGTCTGCCATTGCCACTAAGACTTAGCAAGAAAGGAATGTTCTTCTGTGTTCCTCTTTTACTTGAAGAGGCTCAAGTAATGGATTTCTTGTGCATACTTGATTTACGGCACAGGAAAGTTGTCTTTATAAATTGACCATGTAGCCAGTCTGCTAACAAGAGCATCTTCAACCAGGGACAGTAACATCACACATATACACAAAACCAACTAATTATCGTTCATTGTATTTCCTCCCTCTCTTTAATTTACCTATTACCATACTGAATTACTATCTAAGTAAAAACTTTTTATTTAGATATCCAGAGCAAATGAGATGCAACTCTCACCTGTGGAGGAGGTACTGTTATTGGTGCAGGCATGGGAACAGGAATTGGAACAGGTAAAGCTTTAGGTATAGGCGACACTGGTTCGTTATGTGTAGCTTCTGCACCTCCATTTTGAGCTACTTCATTTTCAGACTTCTTGGGAATCCCCTTCCACTCTATCAAAAAAACCAACAACCCAAACATAAGTGTATCAGCTAGGCAGAAGTGGACAAGCAGTCGAGTACTGCCATGGAAAACTACCATGCTCTGTCACGTTTGCAAAAATGACAACATCAAAACCATTCAGAGAACGAGAAGCACAGAGCTAAGAAGTGTGCAAATGTAATTCTGAAAATAAAAACTCCAAATTACTTTAAACCGAGTAGGACAAATCACTGAAACATGGCAAGTAAACGTATTCCTTTCATTAGTCATTTAGCAATTCTTTGCACTGACAGCATTCATACATGTCCGGGATTCTGAAACACATTATCTGTAACAAAAACAGTAAGGTTGTTTCAGGACAAGTTTTCAACAGATTCATTCCGCTGGTCTAGAGCAAGACGGCAGCAGCCTTTTCACTAATTTGAGAAGTTAGTTCTGAAAAAACAACATTTTCAAGTCAAACAACAGAAAGGAGAATACAGCAATAAAGAATCACAGCAAAACAAGGGAAACATCAAATACATCTTTAAACTAGTTTGACAGAAGAAACACAGCTCCTGTTGGTTGCCAGAACTTCCTGGGAAAAGACAGCTAAGCAGAAAAAAGGCATCAGTGAAGAGGCATTATATGAAAAAGCACTGAGAAGACTGCAACACATGGAGCTTGTGTGTGTCATCTGTTCGACTTTCATTTAAAATACACACTCAACTTTTTTTGGTGTATTTATCATGAAAAGATGCTACTGTTTAGAATAACCACCACCAAATTAGGGCAAATTGGACAGAATTCCAAAACCCTGAAATAATGTTTCAGTAATTAGACAGCACAGCACCCAATGGTTAAAACCAACACAGTAGTCTAGAATACCAACTCAAAGAACTTAAGGCAATTTCAGTTTTTAAGTACTGTATTCATTTAATATTACTTTTAAAAGTCACAACACCCAGCACACTAGTGACTCAATGTTGATTTGATGCCTGTAACTGGTTTGAAGTTGACGATTATAATAGGTGTAATTTTCTCAATACAGCCACAGAAGCCTGACATTTTCACTACTGACATACAAAACAAGACTTCCGTTTACATCACTATAAATAGAAGATTTGCAAAAGGAACAGAAAAAGTCACAAGTGTGAAAACCATAGGCAAAAACTTTACCTGGACTCAGAGTTTCGTTGTCCAACATTCCTCCTTCACAGAAACTTTCAAGGTCTTCAGGTTTCACTTTGTCCCATGGTATGTAAGTAACACCTAATTCTACATCCCAGTACTGCTTGTAATCTGGCTTTATTCCTTTATTCAAAGCCCATGCAATCTTGGGGGAAAAAATACATGTAGTCAGTAAAATGTTTCTGTTTTAATGGATTTAGTATTTAGTTACTACAAAACAGCATTACCATTTGAGGCTAAGCAGCAAAAAGAATATTCTAATTGAAACAGCAGGAAAAATAGGTTAGTTACAAAACCCTGAAATGAGAGTGTTTTTTAAAGAAGTCTTAGTTCTTATTTCTTGGCTTGACTCTTGCACACAATTTGTAGAAATATATAGAGGCAGTTTCTTCAAATGCCCCCCAGTCACTAAGATTAATTCTACTTCCCTTCAGAGGACAGTGTCACAGTCTAATACAACGTTGTACAAAAGGCAGAACTTCACTAATGAATGTGTTCTTCCTTACTCTTTGTAGGACTACTATAAATAATTAAACTCTGCTATGAGACAAATAACTAGCAACAAGAAAAACATAGTTACAGTCCACTGTAATGACTAAAAGGGCACCACTTTTGTTGGTTAAATAGACAATTACTGGCAATCTTTCAAGGAAACGGATACAAGTTCTACCAGTCATGTTACAGAACGGGAAGAACGCTTCTCCAGGAAAAGGGCAGCCCATTCACATAAATTTACAGAACAAGATACCAAGAATACATAAAAGTCTAAAATACCCAGAAGTCTAGAACAGATGACAAAGGATTACAGCAATTACAACAGCTTTAGAACAGCTTGGCATTTTCCAAGAAGTACCTTTATAGATTTCTGATTGACCTTGAAGTTTCCTCGGCTCAGTTTTTGCAGGGCACGATAAGCATCTTGTCTGTGAACCATTACAATATAGGCACATCCTCTAGGTGGTATCATCTGTTTTAAGAGAAAGAAGTGATTGGTTTTGCTAGCACAGTAACAAAGTAATGAACAACATACACGTGTTCAATTACAGTGAGCTGGAACACCAGCAGGTGTTTCAAAAAGGAGTATGGAAGAGAACGTTAGTTTAAGAGGCTAAGGTAGCCAGTATCTTCTGGAAATGCCAATTTCTAGGAAATTAAAAGCAACTTCTTATGTGGAAAGTTTTAAACTCTATTCTGCGTGAGAATATGAATGACTCTTGTATATTTAATCTTTTAAAATTGTTAAACAGTAGTGTTCATGTAAATGCTGTGGTCTGGCAATTAGTTGCTTTGTTGGAGGAAACAAGACATTTTAATACCCCACTTCATTCCATATACCACAAGCTGGCAGCTGCACTTTCACATTCAGTTTTATCTGCAGTTTTGCAATAATTTTTATTATCTGTAATGCATTTTAGAAAAAACTTCTAAGTTGTTTTACAAAATTTGAGAAGAGGGAGAAAATTACAGTTACTTTGTTTGTTTGTTTAAATGAAATTTTATAGCTACCGGAACAATTATCATTTGTATTTTTAAAAATCCTTAAATACAGCAAAACGTAACAATAGCTCTCCATGTTTATGACTAAAATGACAGAAGAGAAACAAGCAAAAGAATCGCGACCACCACATTCCTATAATCAAACAAAACAGAGCAGACAAGGAACTCAGTAGCACAGTAACTCTGCACCATCTCCTCAACAGCCCTTTCTCGTTTAATTCTCTCCAGAGAAAGTGTGATTTTTATGAAAATGGGATCATCTTCTGTATTACTCCCAAGAGCATTTTTTAAATTGCAAGAAACTAAAGCAAATGCCTTCTTGTTTTTCTACAAAGCAGCCAAATGAATTAACATATTAGAAAACACAACCATAAAGGAAATAAGAGCTCTTGATTCTTTTTAATGTATCAAAAAAAAGCTGTCTTAGAACAGTTATAAAAGACTTTTTGTAACCAAGGTGTATCAAGGTATCCTACACCGCACCATTTATACTTACATTTATTGATTCAATTGGGCCAAATTCCTCCAAAAGACTCCCAACATCCTGCTGAGTTGTCCTTTTGTCAAGCTGTCCTACCCAAAGCGTAGTACTACAAACTACAAGAGAGTTAACACAGATTGTAAGAGCACTTGGAATACACATTTGACAGGCCAGAATGTCACAACAGTAATTTTAAAATAGCCTGTTACTCAAATTAAAAAGCCAGCTAATGTTATAATACATATTTTAATCTTCAGCAGTGTCTGACTGACACCTCTTTCTCTTGCCTGTCTGGACCTGCGTTAACCACAGCAGCTACACCAGAATCACTGCTAGAATGCACTCACTAAGAAGCTCTCTAGTTAACTAATACTAGCCTGCAAGTTCTGATGATCATGAGCTCTGTAAATCATCACAAAAAGGAAAAATATGCTTTGCTGCTAACAATGCTCCATGAAATATCCCAGCACATACAGCAGGTATTTCACAACAAGGTGACTCACTCTGTTTTAGTATAAAATTCAAGCTACGGGCCACTACGGACGGTACTTACTGGCTAGACTAGATTGTTTATGGTGACATACCCAGTACTAGCAAGATTCTCCTCCAGAATGTGATGACAATTCAACTACAATGAGCAATCAAAGTTTTAATCTCTTTAGTGACCTATTCAATGCCTTTTCTTTCTAGGGTTAAGTGAAAAATAATTGACATATACTTTTCCTTTCAGTAAAGAGTGGGCAACATGCTTATCTCATTTCATGCATATATGCATAATAAAACAGCATATGAGCTCAAAGTATCACACTCACTGCTATAGCAATATTTAATACTCATCTATGTTTTCCCCACTTAGTGATATAAACCTGCAAACCTAAAAAGCATTATGTGACAGAATCTGGGATAGATGTTGGGCAAAAGCGTTATCTTACAGCACTGCCAGTAAGTTTATAATGAACAGCTACTAAGTCTTTGCAGTTATTTTAAATTAATGGTACTGTCATTCACAAGGTTTTGCCTAGTTAAAACCCTTCAAGTTTTGTCCCTCTCATATAAAAAAGAATGTTCTCATTTTACTTGGTAACTCCAGAGAAGATTCCACACTCTTCAGGAATATTCAGAAGACAACTACTACATTCTGTCTATAGACACAGGCAAAGACAGGATTATTTCAGCCATCTGGACATCAGCCTGTGTGTTTTCCAGATCAAAGCTCTCCTCCAGGTTTGAGACACACAAAACATTGAATCATTAAAAAAACTGTAATAACGTGCTCAACTTCTTGTTGATCAATCTGCTCTACTTTATATGTCTTGAAGGAAGGAAAAGAAAACATGGTGTTTCAGCTTTTCCTTTCCTCATTTTACAGTCAAAATTATTTCTGACTTGGAAATGTTCCAAAAATGCCAAAATTGTCTACTATGAAGTGATTGTCCAACTGTACTTGGCACTGCTGAGGCTCACTTGACTACTGTGTTCAGTTTTGGGCCCCTCACTACAAGGAGGACATTGAGGCACTGGAGCGTATCCAGAGAAGGGCAACAAAGCTGGTGAAGAGTCTGGAGCACCAAGTGTTGTGAGGAGCGGCTGAAGGAGCTGGGGATGTTTAATTTAGAGGAGACTGAGGGGAGACCTTATCGCTCTCTACAACTACCTGAAAGGAGGCTGTAGAGAGGTGGGGGTTGGTCTCTTCTTCCATGTAACTAGTGACAGGACAAGAGGAAATGGCCTCAAGTTGCACCAGGGAAGGGTTAGTTTGGATATTAGGAAAAATTTATTTACTGAATGGATTATCAGGCACTGGAAGGGGCTGTCCAGGGAGGTGGTGGAGTCACCATCCCTGGAGGTGTTCAAGAAGCGTGTGGATGTCGCACTCCAGGACATGGTGGTGTTAGGGTGATGGTTGGACTTGATGACCTTAAAGGTCTCATCCAACCTTAATGGTTCTACGATTCTACGATGAGTAAAGGAAGTATATAGATGTGTGGTGAATTTAATTCTTACTAGCTTTTCAACAGTTCAGAAAATAAATCACAGTACACTTCACTTTTATTCTGTTTGGATGGGTCCTAGAACCTGCATCAAATAGCACGAAACCCAAGAAAAAGGAACAAAAAAATAAAAAAACCACACAACAGATTAAGAGTTGTCTTCTGGCATATTCTGAGCAGTTACCACATACTGAAGGTAAGTGGACTTGTATACATTAAATTTAAAATAAAATACATACAACATACAAGTGTATTTCTTCAACATTTACAGTTTTTCTAAAATACCCGTTTGTCTTCTTAGTATTCCATTTTACATAGCTATAGTATCTACTGTAGTTCCTTCACCTTCACAGAACTCTAAAATTTATTAAAGAAGAATACTGGGCACAGAAAAAAAAAACCAAATACGAACCAGGAAGATGCTGACTATCTGAAAAACGGTATTACAAGAATTTGCAGTTACATCAACAATCAAGAGAGAGAATAAACTTACCACTAACAGTTTCTGACTTGATCTGAGGAAGGCCTTTTGACCTGCGTTCTCTCTCCCTCTCCCGTTCACGTCTTTCTTGCGACCGAGACTTAGGAGAGTGTCGGCGCCTGTCCCTGGACCGCGATCGAGATCGACGATGACGTGACCTTCGCGATCGGGAGCCAGATCTTGAGCGTCTCCTTTTAGGTGACCTAGTTTAGACCAACAACCATTTATGTTCAATCTTTCTGACCCAGACAGACAGATAGGTAACTATTGCAGGTATCTGTTTAAATATTCAAGCAAGCGTTCAGTCAGTAAAAAAACAAATAAATCCAAGTTCATTCGCATGCATTTAGAACTACAATAAATTATTCCAGTAGCTTATTAATGCACTGCAGCTGAATAGTTGATTATTTTTCAATTTCTTATCTTCTATGAATTTTGTATTGAAATCGACTATCAAAACTATGTCCACGTTAATACAGAAAAAATTACATCTGCTTAAATGAGGAAAATATTTATTGTTTTTACAAAAGAACGGCTAAAAAAGATTAAAAATAAATTCTGCCAGTGACGTATTTTACATTACATTCAAGTTCTAAACCCCTCAAGGTCTGGAAGACAGAGTAAGCCTCCAAAGAAGTCACAGGAAACTTGGCAAAGGAGAAGACTCGTAACCAAGTAGATAGCTTAGCTTTATACTGCAGCCAAATTTCTTAGGTCAGCTGAGACATGTGAAATACTGCCTCTGCGACAGGCAAAGTGCCACAGTACACTGGATCACATATCTCTTCAGAAGAGAAGTGTCTTTAGAGCAGAGATAGAATTAAACTACCACATGCTGCTTCTCTAAAATTTAGTCAGTATTGACAGGCATGGCAGTTATTCTTTTCCAATAAAAGAGAGCTATAGAGTTACCCAATTTTCCTTATTAAGTAGACGACTTTCAGAGGTTCACAAGTCTTTAAAGTCATCAATATGATTCTCATTACCACTGCATTAAAGTATATATATATATATAGCTGTAATTATATACAACTCTCCTCAGAGGTAAGAGACCGAAAGGGTCTCTTCCAGAAGGGGAATTCAAATAAAGGCCTTGACAGTCTTAACTTTATCAAGTAATTTCACTAGTGTTGTCCACACAGAGAATACTACACAGCACAGACAGTAATTTCTTGCAATTAATCCTTGAATTAAAATAAAATGGACTCTTTTGCTAAATGCATCCTTTGGCATTTAGTCATACAGTCCAACTTGTACAGCACAATCAGACACTTACAAGAAATGACCCCAAATAAAGTATGCTGAGCAGGGCACACACGAAGCCAACTCGAAATACAGGTACCAAGCCCATGTCCTAAGGCACTGAAAGGAGCTCCCCCAGTAGTTCAAGGAGTTAACTCATCTCGCAGCTAATTACTGTCATCTCAGTAAGAAGTTACCATGCCCACAGTAATTTGGCAGCACAGTACCAGATCCTCTGAGCTCCAGATAATCAGTGTAACTCTCCTCAGTACTTGTACAGAATTAGTAAAGCATTTTCAAGTCTTTGGACATGACACACATGAGCTCCTTATGTTAAAGTTCAATACTTGATAATATATACCCTCACTTAAAGAGCTTCCACTAATTTACCTTGATGCAGATCTAGATCTTGATTTCCTGTTGTCAGAAGCATGTCGTTTTGCCTCTTGAATAGGTGGCTGTTCCACTTCCATATCCTAAAACATTTAAGTTGACTGGTGTTACGGGTGAGTATCACAAGCATTTTATTTCATTTTATGCCTAGACTAAATTACTTAACAGCACTAAAATTACATTGAACATTCACGTATGAGAAATGAAAATGTAATGCATTTCTCCTCAGAAGCATCACCACTACTTTGTAGTCACTAACAGGGAGATAGTCCAATATTAAATGGACTTAACACAACCACTGCAAAAACATAGTAATTTACACAAAATAATTTTCAATTTGCAAATTTTTGTTTGTTTGTTTCCCACATTTTTCTCAATTCCAGCACTGCATGTATCTCCACAGAGTATGACTGTATTCCTTGAAGTCAGTCAGTGAATCTTGCTCTGTCATCAAAATCACAGGTAAAGTAAGGTTTACTAGGAAACTTCTCTCCAAGATGTTACAGGAAACTACTATAAGCCATATATATAAGCAAATTACAATATAAAAAATTTGAAGAATGAAGCAGAAGTCATCAAAACAACACGTAAAATGCAAGAACCTGCTTTAAAAAAACCTCAAACCAGTAAGTTCAACACAGCTCTTCTTTCCTACCCCAAATCCTCTACAGCTTCCTACTCCAGAACTCACTGAGTCCTGCCTGAACTTCAATGCCGTCACTGTGCAACTCCAGCAGGGAACATCCAAACAAGCAATCTCTCAGAATGCACTGATACAACAGAATTCAACACTAGAAACCTAATTACAAAGATACTCTTGAGATTTGTCCCTTTATTCCAAGCAGAAAGCAAGAGCTTATTTCTAGTGTCTGTGACATCACAGGTCGTCACAAAGACAGTTTGCTACTATCTCTATTTCTCATTTTAGGATTTCTTTTCCTCAGAGCAACAGAGGCAAATATGGACTTTTTTTTTTTAATACAGGCTCATAATCAGTCTTGCTCTTTGACGACTTCTTAACAGCAGCCAGTTACCAAACCAACAATATCCTCCAAAATCTTAGGAACAAGACAGTGGTGTTTACACACACTTGCATTTTTTAAAACTTTTACAGAATTCTGAGCCTATTTCCACTATATTAGCGATCTACCAGGCCCTTAAAATTAACTTTTCCAGATAATTTCTCTCCAGAATGAGACTGCATTGTCAGAATTTCATTAAACAAAATATTCCTGAAGCATGATGGGGACAGGAAAGAGAAGATGAGGGAAAGTGAGAAGTGGAAGGACAAAATGCAATCCAAAGTCTTTCACAAAAGAAGGCATAACACATGCATATGATGCTTTTGCTAGACTTGTGAAATACCAGATTTGTCATGTAGCACTGCAGCTATCCAACGTTCTCTCAGAGGAGCTGCCTTCACAGCCATCTCTGTCCATGGTTATCATGAAATTTCCTCTCCTGTACAAACTATACGCATTTGAGAAAGACATGTATTAGAGCATTAAAGTTAGCGTGTTTATTGCAAGGGGTTCTCACCTGCTGATGTGGTTTTTGTATGTGTGATTCACTCTGTACTGGAAAAGGAGACTGAAAAGTTTGCTGCACAGGTGCTGTTGGCGGAATCACAGGCTGAGCCATGGGTGGAAACTGCGGGGTAGGCAGAAGACCGAAACCTGGCATTTGCCCATTAGGAGGAAGTGGAACCTTTGGAGAATTAAAAAGCACAAAAACTTCCAGTTAAGAAAAAAATTACATTCACTTTTCCAGTTTGCTAAAGTAAAATTGTATCTCTGCTCAAAAGTCACCATAAAAGACCAGAAGCCCAAGAAAGATGAAGTAAATCAAGCATTTAGATGTATAAAATAAAAATCTTGTTCTTCAAAGCTTGACTAGAACAGAGAACAAAAGTAGGTTTCCTGGGAAATTTGGAGGGCTAAGCCATATTCACTCTTCACTAACAGGAACACCACTTTCTTACTTCTACACCAAAGAAATAACAAGACAGAAAACGTAACACAACAGAATGGCGACAGAAAACCATGAAGTTACCTGGTGACGCACTGGATCCTGTTGTATTCCCATCATTCGCTGCTGAAAGGGATCCATATTGGGGAGTTGAGGAAATACTGGCTGTTGTATACCTTCTCCTGGAAATCCACTAAAACCAGTAAAATATTGGTAAAACAAGTTAGTCGATACACTTTGCCTTTATTTTACATATTACTATGTACATTCACACATTCTTGCTTCAACTTTAGACAAAAAAGTTATCTTCAGTATGATTCCATTTCCTCTCTAAAAAGTGGAAACAAAAAAAGGAGCAAGAGTGGCTTCCTTATCTTTTCTCCACTGTAAAAGTAGTCCTTTAATATTTAAAGAAATACTACAAAAAGCCTGTCTTCCCCCTGTACTTATATGATCTTGATAAAGGTCTCAGTCTACGGATTTTTTTCATGAAGGTTATCTGCCTTAGGCTAACTTTCTTCCTTTCTCTTTTGGGAACAAAAGAGGTAAGCCTTTTTCTCAAGGAAAATAAATTGGCCACACTTTTGCCAGGAAAAAAACCCAACTTTAGTTTGGGAGGCATTTAAGGCACAGGAGAAAGGGATATGTGTATCACACAAGGATTACAGTAATGCCATTCACTTCCTGATTCAACACACAGAATGGACAGTGCTCAGGGAATTAAAGAGGTCTACGCAGTTAACAGGACCTGTTTAAAGGATGCAGATTGTGTAAAACTGAACAGGATTTCAGGAAGATAATTTCATGGTGATGTGAAACAGAATTTTGTATTATGTTGAGACACAGGTGCCACTCTTAGATGACTCTGGACAGGTAAGTTTTTCATAGAGTATTACTGATCTTGTGTGCCCCAAATGAGACTACTAGAATCCAATCTTCAGAGGCATCTTGCATAACTATAAGGTAATAAGGACAAAGGATTTGAACACAGACATGCTGAAAAGCCTAGTCCAGTGATCTCCAGTTGGGCACACATAACCAGTACTTATGTTTGACCTACCCCATCTTTCTGTACTCTGGAGTTTTATCTGTACTGTATGAAAAATACTACCAATTTACTTAAAAGGCATTTTAGTTAACTAATACTTGTGGAACATAAAGTGCTTAAGGTGATAAACACAGTAAGAAAGCTAATGACAAAGTTAGTGATTCTGGTTTTGAGAGCAGGGTTTGGATGGCATATACAGGAACTAAGACACAGGGCCACAGACTGAAGCGGGGAAAAAAGAAATATTGACTAACCCAGGTATTGAGCACCATCCAGCCTGTGCACTGAATGAGAGAGGGGTCCTGTGGAAAAAACTGGTATGTGATCATGTAATTTAAGACTTTATCATAATGCATATCAAAAGGGAAACAGGAGTCTAGGTTAGTTTGTGTGGGTATTTAATGTCTGAGAACGTAAAGCTGCAAAGCCGATTTAAAATTTTTAAATAGTTAAAAACTATCACACAATGTTAGGAATAGCACCTTTTCCCCAGCCAGCAAAGCAATTCAGCTGATCACTAACAACACCCTGACACATTCGGTTGTGCAATAAAAATACGGAACTCATCTTGAAACCAAAACTAAGCTTTTCTCTACGGAACACATTCCTCAATCAGTGATGCAACATGCCAAACATACATCAGATCTTTACAGTAAAAAAAAAAAAAAACCCAAACCACCAGAAGTTGTTAACAACATTTTAACTTTATATTGTAACAGTTAAACACCGAATTAACGTGGAATTTTAATCAGCTTTCTAACCTGAAGGGTTTTTAGAACAAAGGTTTGCTAATTTGCTATGACACAAAACTTACAAAGCTGGCTGAGAAACTGAAGAAGGAGAAGGAGCTGAATCTTCCTTCTTTGAATCCTCCACTGCTTCTGGTTCATCATCATAGTCAAACCGATCTAGCAGCTTCTGAAAGATCACATTGAGCCAGCTATTTTTTCTGTATCTTATAAAACTGGTAGCCAAAATATAATTATTATCAAAATATAATTATTATTAATTAATAATTATCAATTATTAAAGACAAAGTTAGAATCGGGAAAAAAAGAGAGTATCTATATTCTAATACAGAATCAGAACCTGTCCAAAACAGTTTTATTCAGCTTCAGAAAATGCAAAGGCTGTAAAAACAGGAAGCTGACCTCCCAATGGAATGAACAGAAACAAAATTTGCATCATTTCTCTCCTAACAAATGGAGGACATTGAGACATCTACCAGACAGACTTCTGCTGAACTGAAAAAGCTAAACATAAAGAACAAGTGAAGACTTACTTTGTCAAATGATGTTTTTTGCTCAGGTGGTGGGAAGGCAGCTTTTTGTTCTGAGGGTTGTGTTGCTGTAGTTTTCAACTGAGCGGTAATAGCTTGAACCTGAGCCATCACAGTGTTATCTATGACTGGTGACTGGGGTTTTTGAGGCTGTTGAAAAGTCTGAAGAATTTGCTGAAGCTACAAAAACACACACAGTATTATGTATATATTCTTATATAAACATTGTGGTGGAAAAGTTGTGGGATATAGAATTTACATCAAACCAAACTATGGCACAGAATGAACACCACCAACAACCTGACTGAACTACGGAGAACTTTAAGCAAGACCAAAAGCCACTTCTTAAGTACTTCAGTGGCAAAATTCAGCAGATCCCAAGATTTCAGTCTTCAGGCCTTTCAACACTGCAAATATGTAAGAGGACCAAACAATAACACTCAACATTTTGTTTGATACATTCCACCTGTTCTTGAAACTTTGTAACTGCATCAATTCAGAACTAATTATTTAGGAATATATAACTGAATTTTCCTCAAATACCACAACTATTGGATAGAAGGCTCACAGATCATTCAGATACTGACTTTAACTTGTACAAGTTTTCCACTGAAGACCTCTGGGAGGCTTTTTGTTTTACTTCAAATTAAGGATATTACTTCCATCATTTTTCTCCCTCATTTAACTTAAAAACTGAAGTCAGAACGGAACCAAATATAAAGAGCTTACCTGTTGTCCTTGTGTTGTTTGAAACAGCTGAGCTACAGCTGCAAAGGCATCAGAACTGGGCAACTGTGGCACAGTAGGTACTGAGTTAGCAGTAACTTGAGGGGGCTCTGAAGGAACCTTTGCTGGAGGGGGTGGCGAACCTGAGAGTTTCATAGGAATTGAGAAAGTGCTACATTACTCCAAAACATTCATCATACACTTACCTCCTCAAAACTACTTAAAATATTCTATTTAACTCAAAAAGTCCTATCTAAACTACCCCAAAACCAAACTCAACTCAAACAGTGATAAGCAATGCATATCAATACACTTAAAATGTCAGTTCTGGTCACAAAGTTCTGGAGTCATTCTTTTGAATGAATATTTCAAATCAATCATCTAATGGTTAATCTTACAAGCAACTGAATTTTTCTTAATAGTTTCTATTTTCTAGCAGTAATTGAATTTTTGCTGAAATGTCTGGTAATAATTGAAATGTTTTTAAAAATTATTTCCGAAGCAACTCTTTTCCTTTGATAAGGATAGTTCACAGGCCACTTTTGCATAGGCACAAGCCAAACCTGCATCTGATAGATAAATCCGCCTACCTACCACAAAAATAATTTTCACTTATTCTTCCAGGAAAAGACTCCCATTTCCACTGAGCTTTACTAAACCTGAGATCACATTTTAAGTCGTGTTATTAGCTTGGCCAACACATGCAGCTTTCCCATTCTCTTTGCTTTACACTACAATGCTTTTTTTAATAAACATTTGCTGGTACAGAGTAAATTAACAGTAAAACCATTATTTCCTACATGCCATGAGCAAGTAACTGTTCTTTAGCAGATATATTTTAACTATTATAAAACCGAACAAGGAGAGACAGTTAAAAAACCCCACAGATAGAAATATTTCTTCATTTGAGACACTAAGCAAATATGTTTGCCTCACAATACCAACTTCATTAAAGCCATTCATCTGTTTGCAGTTTAAATAACTGCAGTGCCGACACGCAGCAAGCAGAGAAAAACACGTTGAATAATATTTTCCCAGAAGCCAGATGCTACATAAAATACTGCAAAAAGATACGTGATTGTTTTTAAATATAAATTAACTCCCAAATTATTTCCTGTATATATTCAGAAGGATATTTGCTTGCTCAAGGGAGAAAATTTGCATTTCTCTCTCATTTTTTTCGCTAAACAGACTTTGCAGCATTATGAACTAAACAGATTCTATTTCACATAATGCATTAGTATATTTATTATTATTCATTGCCATATTTATTTCAGGGCCAAATTACCCCCTCCGGTGCCTCTGAATAATCTCACTGAAATCAGTTATTCTGTACGTGAAAATCTATGTGGAAGGCACCCAACCCATTAGCTACTAGTGATGAGACAAAGATGGAAAAATCGTGCCACTCATCTGTCATAGCAAAATGAAATCGTAGAGCCACCAGTCTGCACCCAAGCTCAGATGCTAAGACATTCCCTCCCCCTGCCCTGCCCTGTTTTAGAAAAAGTGTCAGTAGGATATGCTTTCCTTAACACTTCTGGAGGTGATTTCACTTATGCTATTGTGAATCATTATTTTGTTGCCTGTCAGCACATTTCACTCACACCATTACATTTTTTGCCAGTTCTATGCCAACATACATGAGTACATGTACATGAGTACAATAAATTTTATTCAATATATTCATCAATGACTTGGA